ATGTATCGATATGCATATCTACATGCATAATATGTAGATGCATATAATATATATATATATATATATTTGTATACATATATATATATATCTGTATCTTCATTTGTATATATATGCCTGTTGTTCCACCATCCTCTCTCCCTCTCTCTCTCTCTCTCTCTATATATATATATATATATATATATATCTACACATATAGATAATATTATATATATAGACTAAAACCTATATATATATATATATATAAACATCTACATATATATATAAACATCTATATATCTACATCTATATATATATATATGTTGCGGTGTACGTGAACGATTTCAGGTGGACGCTGTGTGGCCGGGTTGGGGCCACGCGTCAGAAAACCCGTCTTTGCCTGAGCGTTTATCATCGTTAGGCATTGCCTTTTTAGGCCCGCAGTCGAAAGTGATGGCCGCACTTGGAGATAAAATAGCAGCTAATATTTTAGCACAGACAGCTCAAGTACCTGCTATACCCTGGAGCGGTACAGGGCTTCAAGCGAAACTCGATAAGGATGGCAATATACCCAAGGAGGTATCATCTTTATTCTTATTCTTTATTATTCTTTTTAGTTTTTTATCTTCTTATTTTTCGTTTTATGCTGCTGCTGCTGCTGCTGCTGCTCTCATGCTGCTGCTCCTCCTCCTGGTTGTTAATGCTGCTGATGCTTGTGATGCTGCTGATGGTTGTGATGCTGCTGATGGTTGTGATGCTGCTGATGCTGCTGCTGGTAATGATGGTGCTGTTGCTAATACTGCTGCTGCTGGTGTAGATGCAGCTGCATGTGCTGCTGCTGCTGATGTATATGATGCTGCACATGCTGCTGCTGCTGCTGCTGCTTCTGGTGTTTGTTTGTGCTGCTACTTCTAGAATTAGCATTTGTGCTGCTCTTTCTACTATAACCGTACATCTACACCTTTTCCTGCTTCTGCTGCTGCTGTTGCTGCTGCTGCTGCTGCTGCTGCTGCTGCTGCTGCAGGTGTTTGATGCAGCAACGATATCAACTCTTGAGGAGTGCCGTGCTGCAGCATCACGTGTAGGATTTCCTTTGTTATTGAAAGCTTCAGGTGGTGGTGGGGGTAAAGGTATAAGATTATGTGAAAGAGAAGAGGACCTACAAACTGCTCTATCACAAGTACAGTCAGAAGTTGAGGGGTCGCCGGTGTTTCTGATGAAGCTATGTAAGAAAGCTAGACATATTGAGGTCCAAATTGCCGGTGATAAACATAAAAATGCTGTTGCTCTCTCTGGAAGGGACTGCTCAACTCAGCGCCGATTTCAAAAAATTTTCGAAGAAGCACCGCCCACTGTCGTACCCAAACAAACTTTCAAGTATGTTTGCTTATCTTTTTTATCTTATTCTTTATTTTATTATTTATTTTGTTCTTTATTTTATTATTTATTTTGTTCTTTATTTTATTATTTATTTTATTGTTTATTATTTATTTTGTTATTTATTTTGTTATTTATTTTATTATTTATTTTATTTTATTTCTATTTTATTTTGTTATTATTGTTGCTGTTGTTAGTCTTATTGATTGATGTTGTTGTTGTCCCTATTAATATTATTTTTATGGTTTCTGTTATTAATCTTAATAAATTATTATTTTTATTCTTATTCTTATTTATTGTGATTGTTATTATTGTTATTTTAGTTGTCATTACTATACATTTTATTATTATTAAGAGTTTTGTTTTTATTATTAATTATTATTATGTTTATTATTATTTTTTCTTTTTGCTCTTCTTCTTACGCTCGTTCTTCTTATTGTTCTTTCTCATTTTTACTGATTGTCATTCTTATTATACAGCTGCAGCACCACCACATTCAGCAGCAGCAGCACCACCACCACAATCAGCAGCAACAGCAGCAGCAGCACAATCAGCAGCAACAGCAGCAGCATCAGCAGCAGCAGCAGCAGCAGGAGTAAGATGAGTGATGTGATGTGTGCTGTGTATATACAGGGAGATGGAGCGTGCTGCTCAGCGTTTAACTCAGTCTTTAGGATATGAAGGCCTGGGGACGGTAGAGTATTTATACGACCCTCAGTCGGACTCATTTTTCTTTTTAGAATTAAACCCTCGCTTGCAAGTTGAGCATCCAGTGACTGAAGCAATAACGCAGCAAAACCTGCCGTCGCTGCAGCTGCAGATTGCTATGGGTATACCTCTCTATCGAATCCCCCCTATCCGCGCATTCTTTAATAAAGACAAAGAAGGCCAAGACCCCATCGACTTCTTAAAAGAAGACTACAAAGACATCAATACCCACGTCATAGCTGTAAGGCTACATAGTGCTGCACCAGCAGCAGCAGCAGCAGCAGAAGCAGCAGCAGCAGCAGAAACTGCAGCAGTTAATGGTGCTGCTGCTATGTTGCTGCTGCTGCTGCTGCGCGCCATGGCTGTGTTTCTTTCTTGCGTCTGTCGCTGCTTCTGTTTTTTTTGCTGTTCGTTTTGACGCCTTGTTGACTTGCTGCCTCTGCTGCTGCTTCTGCTGCTGCATAGCAGCACCTGTCGTGTCTTCTGGTGTTTCGTCTGCTGCTCTATCTGCTGCTGCTCTATCTGCTGTTCCCTTTGCTGCTCCATCTACTCGTGCTGCTGTATATACTGCTGCTGCTCTATCTATCGCTGCTCTATCAATTGCTGCTCTATGTATTGCTGCTGCTGCTGCTGCTGCTGTGTATAGGCTCGAATAACAGCAGAAAATCCAAGCGAGGGTTTCCGGCCTACTAGCGGGCGCATTCACTCTCTTGACTTTAGCCCGCCGGAGAAGGTGTGGGGTTATTTCAGTGTATGTACAGCTGGGGCTTTGCATGCGCATGCAGATTCTCAGTTTGGACATATCTTTGCTGCAGGAGACAGCCGCAATGAGGCAAGACAGCGGCTGATCTGGGGGCTGCAGCAGCTGCAGATTAAAGGAGACATCCTTACCCCTGCTTCGTTTCTTCAGAGATTACTTTCACATCCAGACTTTATTAATCATACACTGGATACCGCGTGGCTTGATGATATTATTAAAAACAAACAGCTTATTCTCGCACCTAATGCAGCAGAAGTTGTCTTCGCTTCTGCTGCCTTCAGAGCCATTCAAGCCCTAGATGTACGGGCCTCTTCCTGCTGCTGCTGCTGCTGCTGCTGCTGCTGCTGCTGCTGCTGTGCCTGATGCTGATGGTGCTGCTGCTGCTGCTGTGCCTGTTGCTGCTCCGGCTGTGCGTGGTGCTGCTTCTGTTGCTCTTGATGCTGCTGCTGCTGCATTACCTGCTTCTCATCCTGATGTGCCTGCAGCTGTTCTACGCGCTGCTGCTGCTGCTGCTGTGCATGTTGCAACTCGTGCTGCTGCATCTGCTGCTGCTGTTGCTGCTGTATCAGTCTGCGTATGAATGATTGTTTGCGACGATATATATAGGAAATATATATGTATTTCCTTGTATGGGTGCTGCTGCTGCTGCTGTGTGCTGTATCTGTTTGCTGCTGCTGCAGAAAGCGAAGGATGCGTGGCTGTCAGCAGCAGCACGGGGTCATCGCTATTTACCTCCTGTGGGGCCTCTGCTGTCTGTGGAGGTGCCGATTGCCTGGGGTGGCTATGTTTATAGCTTCTCTTTTTCTCGCATGTCTCCTGATAGTCTAGGATTCGCAATAAATAAACAAAAAGGTCAGGTGTATTACAGAAAACAAACTGATGGTTCTTTCCTCCTCTCTGTATATACTGACCCGCCGCAGGAGCAGCAGGAGCAGCAACAGCAGCAACAGGAGCAGCAACAGCAGCAGCAGCAGGGGCCTCGTTTGCTGCGCTTTAGAGCTCGAGAGGAGGCACTAGGCCTGCGCTTAGACTTAGGCGGAGACAGCTTAATGGTCTTAGACCAACGCGACCCGACAGAGCTGCTTTCAGACGTCAATGGGAGACTCGTGCGCTACTTAGTTCAAGACGGAGACACTGTGAAGAAGGGACAGCCGTTTGCTGAGGTAGAAGCAATGAAGATGATACTTACGCTTACTGTAAGTCTATCAACACTACTCATACACCGCCGCTTATCTTCCTGCTGCTGCTGCTGCTGCTGCTGCTCGTTGGGCTGATGCTGCTGCTGCTGGTCGTTGGGCTGATGCTGCTGCTGCTGATCGTTGGGCTAATGCTGCTGCTGCTGCTGCTGCTGCTCGTTCGGCTGGTGGTGGTTGTGTTGCTGGTGCTCCGTCTACCGTAGCTGTTGCTTGTTGTGCTGCTGCTGCTGGTTATACTGCTGCTGCTGCTGCTGGTTGTTGTGCTGCTGCTGCTGCTTTTCTGTGCATCTGCACGTCTACGCTGCTTGCGTATTCTTCTTGCATCTCCTCCTTTGGCTGTTTCTTTTGCTGCTGCTACTACTGCATTTGCTGCTGCTGCATTTATTGTTGCTGCTGCTGCTGCTTTGTTATAGGCTGGGGAGAGTGGGGTGTTGATACACCGCAAGAGTGCTGGGTCTCTGGTGCAGCAGGGCGAGCTGCTGGCGTCTCTGCAGCTCGAAGATCCATCGAAAGTTGTGCGGCTGCAGCCGTTTAAAGGGTCTTTAGATTTGTCTCCCCCAGCAGCAGCAGCAGGAGGAGCAGCAGCAGGTGCTGGAGCTGCTGCGGGTGATGCTGGCGGTGCTAGTGGTGGTGATGCTGCTGCTGCAGCTGCCCGCAGCGCAGAGGAAGCAGCAGCCGAAGCTGCTACTGCAGCAGAAGCTAAGATTGAGCTGCTGCTGAGCGGCTTTGTGCAGCAGCAAACACCGCAGCAGCTGCTGTCTACTGTCTTAAAGGGGCCCTGCAGCACTTCTTTGAGCTCGTTTTTATCTTTTACTGAGCGCTGCTTCTCTCGATTTGTGGAGACAGAGGAGTTGTTTGCTGCGAAGGGGAATGCAGATGCTGCTGCTGCTGTTGCTGCTGCTGCAGCAGATACTGAGGGACAGTACAAGATGTATGTCTCTCATTATGCGCTCAAGCATAAAGTCGAGTTGCTGCTGCTCCTCCTGAAGGAACTCACCGTAAGCTGCCATCTGCTGCTGCTGCTGTTGCTGCTGCTGCTGTTGCTGCTGCGGTGCTTAGTGCTGCTGTTGGCGATGATGCTGCTGCTGTTGCTGCTGCTGCTGCTTTTGTAGTCGCTGTCGCTTTTGGCTATTGCTGCTGCTGCGGCGCCGGCTAGAGCCCTGGGCTTTACTTGCACTGGCCGCTTCAGTGGCAGCAGCAGCAGCAGCAGGCGCAGCAGGCGCAGAGGAGTGCTTACTCCTTACTGCATTTACTTGTCTTCAAGGTATTGTATTTCTTTCTGCGTCAGCGCTTTACAAACTGACTCTTGTGCTGTTATTGCTGCTGCTGCTGCTGTTGTTGCTGCTGCAGGTGCGGCTGAGTGCAGCTGCTGCAGGTTCGTTTGAATCTTCACGGATTGAGAACCTGCTGCGGCGTGTGGGGGCATTGAAAGGAGTTGCTTATAATATTCTAGCGTTAGCATCACAGCGGCTGCTGAAGCTGCTGCTGCTGCCTCCGGTAGAAGACCGTGTGGATAGCCTGCGTGCGCAGCTGCTGCAGCTGCAGCAGCAGCAGCAGCAGCAGCAGATCCAACTGCGTGACGAGCTGCTGCAGCTGCCTGAAGAACTCGGAGGGTATGGGCTTCTAGCCCATCTGTTTAGAGACCCTCAATTAGCAGCAGCAGCAAGAGAAATGACGCTGAGGAGACAGCTGCTAGGCTTAGACCTACAGCTGCAGCAACAACAGCAGCAGCAGCAGCAGCAGGGAGGCGTCCCGTTCACGTGGAGAGAGCCGCGTGAGGAGGGCAGTGCAGCACCAATGAATGCGGGTGTCTTTGCTGCTGTCTCCAGTGTAGAAGAGATGCAGCAGCAGATGCTGCCGCTGCTGCAGCAGCTCGCACAGCAGCAAAAGGTCCTCAGTCAAGGCGCCAAAGGCGTGCTGCTGCTGAATCTTCCCCTTTCGAGTGTACAGGCAGGTGCTGCAGAATCTGACGCAGCAGCAGTCGAGGCAGCAGCAGAAGCTGCTGCTGCTGCAGCAGAAGCTGCAGCGGCTACCTCTCCAGAGGCTGCTGCTGCACTGAAGAACCTCCACAGTCTCCGTCTGCTGCTGCCCACAGCCAGCGGCGACGCGCATCAAGTGGCTCTTGTGCAGCAACAGGAGCAGCAGCAGCAGCAGCAGCAAGGGCTGCAGCAGCTGAAGCTGCAAGAAGACCCGTTGCAGCGGTGAGCTATGGACCCCTTTTCTTGTGGGGTGTACGTACACCGGATGTCTCGCCCTTGCTGCTGCTGAAGAGCAGCAGCAGCAGCAGCAGCAGCAGCAGCAGCAGGGAGAGGAAGCGTTTGCGGTGTTGCTGTTTGTGTGTGCTGCAGCGGCTTGTCCCTGTCTCAATATATATATGGAGAGATTGAAAAGATGCGCAGCCTAGGGACAGTGCGGCGGCTGCCGTCTGCTGCTGCTGCTGTTGCAGTGCCTCCAGCAGCATCAACAGATTTGCTGCTGCATGCAGTGTCTCCTAAACCCCCTGCACCTCAATCAGGATCCGCTGCTCCGCTGCGGGCACCAGCATTGCGACCAACGGTGTACGTACACCGCATCATTCCTATGGCGGATGTTCTGCTGCAGCAGCAAGGGCTGCAACAGCTGCTGCAGCACCTGCTGCAGCAGCTGGAGGCGGCTTTCAGGGACCCCCACGTCCACCCCACGAGCAGCAGCACCATCGTGCTGCAGCTGCTGCAGCAGCAAACTCCGGCAAGACAAGCAGCGCTGCAGCAAGCTCTCTTTGAAGCCCTTCAATTGCTGAAGGAAGGTGAAGATGGGGAGAGGCTGCTGCGTCTGAACGTAGAGAAGGTGGAATTGCGGGTACCTCAAGAAGCTGCTGCTGCTGCTGGTGCAGCAGCAGCAAGTGGGCCTGCTGCAGCATCGCAGCAGCAACAGCAGCAGCAGCAGCAGCAGCAACTTGTTATAAGGGCCTCCAGCAGAGGCGGCTGCTGGCTTGAACCGGAGCAAGTGACTGTGCCTGGAGGTGCTGCAGGATATGATGGGGAGTGCGATCTACATGCGTCTGCTGCAGCACGGCTGAAGCAGCAGCAGCAGCAGCAGCAGCAACACCCGCTGGCTCCTGAGGCTTCAACAGCAGAAAGCTCTGCTGCACCTTCTCCTTTATTATCTGAGTTGTTTACACCTGAAGGTGGCTCAATCCGTGAGGGAGAGGGTGGGTCAGCAGCAGCAGCAGGAAGCAGCAGCAGCAGCAGCGGCGGCTCTAGTATCCACCGCAGCAGCAGCTGCACGAATGAGAGGCTACCCTTTTCGTGGGGTCGCGGCGGCACTGCAGCAGCAGCAGCAGAAGCAGAGAGAACAGCTCCTCTCATTCCTCTTAAGGGTATAACTGAAGAGCAGCTAGCAGCAAAACGAGCAGCAGCACAGAGAGCTGGCAGCACCTACATCTACGACTTCTTGGGGCTTATTAATGCAGAGCTGCAGCAGCAATGGAGGCGCAGCCAGGAGGCCCTTGCTGCATCAGGAGACACACGCAAACTTGTTGTTCCGAATAAGCTGTTAGAGGTATGTTCTTGAAGAAGACGTAGTTGCTGCTGCTGCTGTTGCGGCTGCTGCTGCTGCCGATGTTGGCTTTCTATTGCTGCTGCTAGGGCTCCTGGTGCTGTGTCTGTTGCTGCTTCTGTTGCTGCTGGTCCTGGTGCTGTTTCTGTTGCTGCTACTGTTCCTGCTGCTGCTGTAATTGCTGCTGCATTTGCGCGTCCGAAGCCTCAGTACTATTAAACCCTTGTCCTGCAGCAGCAGCACCAGCACCAACAGCAACAGCACCAACATCAACAGCAGCAGCAGCAACAGCAACAGGCGTGCATGATATAATATTCCTAAGTTAATAAAATAAATAAATTAGCAAATTAAATAAGTTAAATAATTAATATTATTTATTTATTTATTTATTTATTTATTTATTTGCAGGCTCGAGAGTTTCACTTGGGCCCTGACGGGCGTCTTCAGCTGCATCGGGATTGGCTGATCGGCGACAGTGCAACAGGGATGGTAGCATTTTTATTATTGTTAAGAACGCCTGAATACCCTCAAGGGAGAGAAGTAGTATTAATAGGCAACGATGTAACGCATCAAGGAGGGTCATTTGGAGTAGAAGAGCACGAGGTGTATAGGCAGGCATCTGCATTTTCACGCCAGCATAAGATCCCTAGGTTATATATTGCATGCAATAGTGGGGCTCGTATTGGGGTGTATGAACAGCTAAAAGATAAGATCAAAGTTTGCTGGATAGATAAAGCAAACCCTTCCTTAGGCTTTAAATATCTATATATTAATGAAGAAGACATGCAAAAGATGAATAAAGAAGCTGTTATAGGCCAGTGGGGTCCGTCACCCGAAGATAATACAAAAAAGATATTTATATTAAACGCTGTTATAGGCGAAGAAGGTCAACACTTAGGCGTTGAAAATCTAAGAGGCTCAGGAAAGATTGCTGGAGAGACGAGCAGAGCTTATGATGAAGTCTTTACATTATCAATTGTGTCGGGTAGATCGGTCGGTATCGGCGCTTATGTTGTTCGTTTAGCTCAGAGATGCATACAGCAGAAGAACTCTCCTTTAGTTCTTACAGGATTTCATGCTCTTAATAAACTGCTCGGTAGAGATGTTTATATATCTCAAGAGCAGTTGGGTGGTCCAGAGGTTATGCTGCCGAATGGTGTTACGCATTTAGAAGTTAAATCTGATAAAGAAGCAATTAAAGAAGCTGTCAGATGGCTAGAGTTTGTACCCCCTACAGCGGATGCTATGCATACACCCCATCGTATTACAGACCCTGTACACCGCACGATTGAATTCTCTCCTTCTTCTTCTCCTTACGATCCAAGACATATGCTAGCGGGCCACTATGTCTCTGAAGCAGCAAATACCCACACCCAACAGCAGCAGCAGCAACAGCAACAACAGCCCGAGGAACAACAGCAAAAGCAGCAGGATGAACACCAGCAAGATCAGCAGCTGCAGCAGGATCAGGATCAAGATCAGCAGCAGCAGCAGCAGCAGCGTTGGGTGTCCGGGTTCTGCGATAAAGACAGCTTTAAAGAGGTACTGGGGCCGTGGGGCTCAGGCGTTGTTGTAGGCAGAGCTCGCTTAGGCGGACAGCCAATTGGTGTCATCGCCGTCGATGGGCGAACCACAACTGCAGTCGCACCTGCAGACCCTGCAAATCCAGACAGCGCCCGAGTAGAGACACCCCAGGTATATTAATATAAATATATTAATATATATATATATATATTAATACCTATATATATATATATATTTATATATACATTTATATATACGTATGGATATATATATATATT